AATAATTTAAATATGTATTTACAATTCTAATGTTCTCCATTATGGAACTGTAGTCTGGGATGAAACTTTCCTTCAATGTAAGGGTTGTACCCTAAGTCATGGCATTCAAGCAGAAGAAGGTATTTGTTGCAGACAATGAAGCCTCTCAACTCTGACACCCCACTGACAATCACCTCCCTTTCCCACTCTGAGAACAGCATCCTGTTCTCCTGCTCCCTGGCCAGCTGAGGTACCCAGAGGTGCAGAGCTGGAAAGTGTGTAACATGGAGTAACTGCCTTTTTTCTGCCTGCCGTTTCCCCTAGGAGCCCTATATACAGCTCTCATCTCCTGCTTGGTGCTTAGACTTTGCAGTGCTGAACTCCACAGAGGCCATTAGCTAACGAACTTCCCCCCCACTTCTCAGTGTGCCTCTGCCTCTGGTGAGCTAAAACTGCTGTAACAGTTGATGAAAGTGTAATGATCTGGGAAAGCTGTGATGGGAGCGTGGATATCAGTTAATCTAACTGGCCCTTGATCTGACACTCAGATGCTGCGCCTTCTGCAGTCCTCATCTGATCCTCTTGTACGTGGAACTAGCAGCACAACTGGCCTGATCACTACTGGAACAGTCTCTCTAGCACTGCTGATCTTGGTTGCTGTCTCTGTTGACTTTGCCTACTCTGTCCAGATGCCTAGCATTGTAGACAATTCTACAAAAACAGCATGTGATAGATACCAAGGGTCAATCACAAACAAACCTGCTGGAGACCACGGTCTCAGCTGATGGGAGATCAGATTGAAAGTCTGCAGTTACAACAAGGCCTCCAGAGTCACTACAATGTTACCTGATTTTGCATAGTTCTCCTACTGTATCATTGGCCTGCTCACTCCTGGGAACATGTTAGAAAACATATTCAGGGGGCCATACATCAATATAGAACTCTGGACATGGATACTTTAGAAAAAGAAGCAGGGACTATGTCTCAATGTGATATAAATAAGCAGCAGAGAATGTGAGGCTTTTTAAAACACCACATGGCATGGATTTTATTGTGCCTGGGTTCCGGCACAATAAATGTAAGGCCTTCTGCCCCAAAGAGAAGCGTGTCCCTTTTACAGGGATGGAGAGAAGGCAAAGGACAGTAGGCAGGAAGATGTGTGGTTAAATTTTCCTGGCCATCTTGTGTCTCAATGGGCAGAGTTCTTTCAAGGGCCCCTGGTAAATTCTTGAGTGTCTCTAGATGTCTCCAGGAACCACAGACTATCCTTCCCTTATCTTATTTCCCTTGTCTTACCTCCTTTCCTGAGTTTGCCAAAGATTGCCTGGGTGCTGAGCTGAGTTCCCTGCAGAGAGAGGAGGTTCTGTGATGATGAGGCTGGGGGCTATGAGCTCAACAAACTTAAAATTTGGATGAATAAACCCAGGACTGAGGGAGATTTTCTGATGCCCTCAATCAGCTGAATCCTATTAGATACAGGGCAAGAGCCCTGCTAGACTCACCAGGCAGAGTGGGAGGGGAAAAGGAGGGGCAGGAAGCATAGGCCAGGGCAGGCAGTCAGAGAGGGAGAGCAGCCAAGGCTCTGGGATCTCCAGTTTGGGTAGAATACCGGGGTCCCCGGGCTCCCAGGCACTGCCACCAGGTTTCTGCAGCGAGTCCATTGTGCTGAGAGTGTCCACGGCCCCGGCCATGCACAGCAGCTCCAGCGCTGCTTTCTCTGCTGTTGAACACATCCTCAGGGTGGGGTTCACGGGGCTCCTGGATTCGGAGTTCAGTCCAGGGTCTTCACGATGGGGCAGGACCATCATGGTGGGATTCCTGCTGGGACAGAGCCGCCAGATCCTGGGGAAAACTGAACAGAGGACCACAAGGGTGAGGAGCCAGGATGGGCTGAGAGGTCCCTGCTGCAGGACCCCCGGGCACTGCGGAAGTGCGCGGCTCATCCGCTAGGGGGCGTTTGGCCAGCCCAAGGGACGCATTGCAATTAAGGGACTGCATGGGATTCTGATAGGAAGAAATTACCATGCTTTGTGCTTTGTATCATGAAAGTGGAAACTGCTGGACAGACACACAGATTTCATGGCAATGCAGGCGACCTCTGAACCTGTGACCCTAAGTGCTCCCTTGTCCATCATATATTGATTATAAATGTGGATGTCCCTAAGCTCAGTGTGACTCCTGAGAGTGTTTTAGTACATGGAGAGCCTGATGTTGTCCGCTGTGGAGTTCTAGCTGGGATCCGCCCTGTCCTAGCCTACTGTCATAACACCATGGTGCTCGCGAGCAGGTCCTGTGTCCCCTGAACTCACTGAGTACTCGGGGACATTCTCAGCATTGAGTGACTAGCAGAGTTTTTGGAGTAGGTGACTTGGCAACTAAGCACCAGAAATGATAAAGCGTGGTGTCATCTTGCTCATTTTCATCCCTGAATGTTATAAATCAACCTGAGATGCAAAGACTAGCCCAGCTGCCCACAGTTCCAGAGAATGTGCTATTTCCAGGCAATTGACCCATTTCCACTTTATTTCAAGGTATTGTCACAATGTCACCTATGCTATGATAATACACTCAGCAGATCTCTCCATGCAGATACACAGGACATAAACTGCAAGCCCCACCTCTGCTGGACCAGAACACACTGCTGTGCTCTGTCAGGACCCTGTCCCCTTCCGGCACTGATTCCAGGAACAATGACTCATTCCATCTCTCAGATACATAGTGCCGAGCTCAGAAAAGCTCTTTGAGGAAACTTTACTTCTCTTGTTAATTTTATATAGTTGTTTAAATTAATCAGACTCTAAAAACATACTTATAATAATAACTGTGCCCCTACATGAATCTGTATCGAGCCCAGCATTTACCATTAGTAATTCAAGGCCTAATACTTAACTGTAACCTTACTGTAACCATAACAATCCTCCCCTTTACATTTCCCTGTAAATACATATTTTCACATATGGGATATTTTAATGCCCCTGAATTTGACCCTGGTTCCATCCCATCACGTGATTAAGTCATAGACCCATGGACTTTTGGACCCATAACCATGGACTGTCCACAGACCATGGGCCCACTTCAGCCTACACTGCAGCCATCCCAATGGCCTTCTTCCATATGGAGTTACAGGCCATGGGTGACTTCTTGATGTCACCCCGATTCCCTTCATGAAGTGAAGATTGGTCCCGGGCTGCCATTTCCACAGACTCTGTGGGTCATAGGAGAGAAATAACTCTACATAATAGATGTAAAATCACATTTAAAGGCAGTAACAAAGACAATATCATATTCCACAGAAGGAAAATATCAGTCACCTTTGATAAAAGTAATGCTTTGGAAAATTCTGAGCAGACGCAGGAGACTGACCAGTGCATCCTCTCCAAGTTCTGCTGACCTTTGTTCTCTTACTATTGGACTGGGTACTTCGGGTTTTTGCAGTGGGGAGACTCAAGCCTAAGTGAGTCATTATTTCCACCAAACACAGCCAGTCCTGAGGCCCACGCACTGCCGAGTTTCTCTGATATCCTCCTGAGGTCTACAGAGCTCATTGCTCCACTGCCAGCAGCCTCAGTCCCCAGGAATCAAAGACCTGCTGGAAGGGCTCTTGGGAGTCACCCATGTGGGGACAGCACTGGAGCTCAGCCTCAGCTGCAGACGCTGTATGTTCACCTTGAAGTGTTTCTTGATTCTGATGATATAGAAAAGTAGAATCTTCTCAGGGCTGGGGATTTAGCTTAGCAGCATAAGCACCTGCCTTGCAAGTAGGCGGTCGTGAGTTTGATCCCAGGTACTGATAAAAAAAGAAAAGTAGAATCTTCTCATCAGGAATTATTTCCAGATTTACAAGTGACTCATCCTGGTTATATACAGAGCTATGATCATGGCTCACACCAATTTCATTCAGTAGCTGACTTACTGAGATGGATACTGGGCCATCCCTGATGATAATGGCCTGGTGTAGGAAATCTGGACATGATTTTACCCCAAACACTCAAACCTAAACGACTCCATGGCCTGATTTTCTAAAGGACTGGTAAATTTGACATTTTTTCTTTCTTTGTTATTAGGGAATCTTGTATTTTTTGAGCCCTCTGGCTGCTTAGGCATTTTCTTCTTGTATTGCATGATGTCTCCTAAAATATCCTCATCTATGCCCCATGGCTACAGCCAAATCCTATGAATGTCATTAAATCTGGGCTATTCCAGAAATCAGCAGAGAGAATTATTTTCTGAGGTTTTCCCTCAGTCTCTGCAGAGAGAACCACCCACTAATCCACTCGTCAAGCTTGTATCAGTCTCTACCATGACTCAAACTTACTAAGTTAATCCTAGAAATACATGGAGGTATTATTACCATAAACAAAGTATCCCATACACTGTGGAATAATTATAATCTGCTAAAATTTCAGACCTGTTTTTATGCAGTGCTGTAAAAATTAAAACCATTGCTGCAGAAAATCTAAACAGAGTAACTATATTAGGATTTGTTTTCCTCTTCCTAATGCCCCTACAAAAATATTATTTTCTCCACTTACAACAGCTTAATTCTTATTCTGTGAAATTTCTTCAACAATGTACGTCACCTAAATATACCAAAAAGAGGGCCTGTCATGATTTATGTCAGTGGCCCACAGGCCTCATGCATTTGCATTATGCGTTTGTGATTGGCTCATTGTCTAGTGCTTGGATTGATGGTGTCAGTGCTACACCCACCTAGGGGTGGAGCCAGGATGTGATGTAATGGGTGGAAGAGGGTCTCTCTCTCTCTCTCTCTCTCTGTCTCTGTCTCTCTCTCTCTCTCTCTCTCTCTCTCTCTCTCTCTCTCTTTCTCTCTCTCTCTCTCTCTCTCTCTGTCTCTGTCACTCTCTCTCTCTCTCTCTCTCTTTCTCTCTCTCTCTCTCTCTCTCTCTGTCTCTGTCACTCTCTCTCTCTCTCTCTCTCTCTTTCTCTCTCTCTCTCTCTCTCTCTCTCTCTCTCTCTCTCTCTTCTCTCTCTCTCACTGGTTTCTGGCTTGCTGTTTGCAGCTGCCATGAACTGCGGGCCTGCCATGCCACTCTGCCTTGGAGCCAACTGAATATGGACTAAAACCTCCAAAAAACTGTAAGAAATAAACTTTTCTTTTCCCAACTTTGGTCATCAGATATTTTGTCTCAGCAATGAGCAAAAAGTAACTAAGACAGGGCCCAATCCATTAATAGGACATAGAAGTGCTACTAATATTATAGCTTCTTTTAAGGAAAACAATGCTGAATTTTCTTTATTTTTTATTTTATTTTGTCTTTTTCCTTTTTATCAGTACCGGCTATCAAACTCACAACTGCCTGTTTGCAAGGCAGGCGCTCATGCCGCTGAGCTAAATCCCCAGCCCTGAATTTCCTTTATTTTGAAGCTTAGGCAAGAGGATATCAGTTTGGGGTCTTGAAGAGCTGATTGAGTCTACACCCAAGCTCTCTCCTTGTCAGGCCACCTCAGACCTGCTCTGTGTCCCTTGCACCAGGCACCACACAGCTCGGACAGACCTGAGCTCAGAACCCAGGACCTGGTTCTGAGGATCCATCCATGGTGGGAGACAGAGCAGAGCCCCCTCCCCCAGCTCAGGCTGCCCCTGAGCTCACCCGCTGTCCCTGCCCTAGAGGCTCTCTGTGGACCCTGCTGCAGCTGCCCCTCTGTAAGGTGAGTAACTGCTGCTGCTTTCCTGCTCCAGCGTCCCTGCGTGGTGATTTCTCTTCAGGAAGATCTTTGACCACACACAGAGCTTTGTGCAAAGAGCATTGAGTGTGTGGGATCAGTACCTTCTCTGTGTTTTTAAGGCCTTGAGAGAAGAAAGCAGTTTCCTAGCTGTGTTTCTTAACAGAATTGCTGGGAGGCTGTGGGGTTTTTATTGGCATTGCTGGCTTTTTTGTTTCAGTCTCTTTTTATTTTTGTCACCATGTTTTAATAGTTATTTTATAAACAACCCCCAAACCCTGTTTGTGTCCCTGTGCTTGTGAGTGTGTCTGTCCCTTCATGAATCAGATTTCTGTGACCTCCTCCACCACCAGGATTCACAGCAGCTCGGTGTACTCTTGGCCCCAGGGCTGCCCTGCTGTCCCCATCCATCCACCCTCTGTGCCCGGGGCTCCTCCCTGCTGCCCATGAGTTTCTTCCACACAGGCAGAGGGGAACAGACCCCCACAGCCTGCACCTGGAGAGGGCTCTGCCCACTTCGCACAGCGCCTCCTGGGCAGCCTTGCCGCTGGTGTTCACTGCCCAGGAGTCTTCATCCAGAGCAGAGCAGATACCCGTGCGAACTACGGTACATTTCTGGGCTGTTTTTACATTTTCAGAGATTGAGTAAAACTTCTAGACAAGTTCCTGGTCATTTTTGGACCTGAAACCTAAGATAAGCGAGTGCTGATGAGAAATGATGAGCCGTATTCTGTAGGGCACTGGGCGATCAGCCCTGCAGCAGGCCAGTGTTTGCTCCAATCCCTGCCAGCATGTGAAAGTCCCTATAGATTTCCTTTTTATGCTTCTGCCTCATAATTGTGTAGTGTTTACCTGTAAGGTTAGATGTTGGAGTTTCTTTTTTTTTTTTTTTTTTTTTTTTTTTTTTTTTTTTTTGTGTGTGTGTGTGTGTGTGTGTGTGTGTGTCTTTTTTGGTTTTTATCGGTACCGGGGATCATACTCACGACCTCCTGCTTGCAAGGCAGGCGCTTATGCCGCTGAGCTAAACTCCCAGCCCCAATGTTGGAGTTTCTTAATGACTGAAAATGTTGAAATATTAGAAAGACTGAATGAATAGTTTCCAATTTTAATTCAGAATAAAAACAGTTGTAGAACTAAAAATTGCTTGGGTCCGTGTTTTCTTACACAGTGATGTTTTTGGTTCATTGTGTAATCAGCCACCCTGTTACAAACTGTATTTCTTCTCGTTTATCTTCTAATGTATAAATTAGAAGCTAGAGTGCACCGAACCCTGCTCCAACACCCCGCACTGAGGTGTTCTATCCAGGACTTATATTTTCCCGTTTTCAGCAGGAGAATGACCATGACAGATTGACCTGGACACCAGCTGTAAGAGAGCGAGGACAGGGTTCGACCTCCCCCTGAACCTTCTGGGATGCAGCCCTGGGCCCTGTACTTCAAGTCCCTCCTTCTCTGGCTGCTGCCCTGGCCAGGCAGAGGTGAGTGAGGAGGAGCCAGGCGGGCTGGACCCTCTTGCCTTACACCGCACACAGGGCTTGGCCTGCACTGCCCCTGAGGGTCTGGGCCTGGCCTGGGCTGCCCTCTCTGTCCTCTTCCCTTCCCGCTGTCCTTGCTTTTCAGGGTAGAATGCTGCAGGTCCTCAAGCACAGTTTTTATTAATGTATTACAAATTAAGATGCTCAAATAGTCTTTTATGAGTAATTCTTTTTAGTTTTGCACCTCACCTTTTTTTTTAAGTTTATAATTTATTATTATTATTGCAGTACATAGTGATCACAGTCATTCTGGAAGATATGGACATATACACAACACTTCTTAATTGCCCCCCCCCACTAATTGCAGGAGCCCTATTTCCATTTTTCTTACTTCAACTCTTTTTTGAAAGCTTTGTTTGGCCATTATAATTAAGCTTATTGGTACAGCTTAGGTGTGCATAATGCTCACATCCACCGTAGGGAACTTGTATCTGTGCATGCAGCAGTGAAATTTGTTTTTAATTGAACTCTGGATACTGCATGAATCTCCTTGAGGTCAAATGTTACCCCCTGCTGGCGACTCAGAGTGGGACCTGTGCCCAGGGCCAAGCTCTACCCACAGGGCTGTGGCACCTTTGACAGGGTCTTCCATGTGTCTTTTTTTTTTTTTTTTTTTTTTTTTAAGATATTATGTCAAACTTCATTCTTTTAAAATTTCACATAAGGCTGTGAAAAGAAGGAGCCACAGTGCACACAAATCTGTAATTGTCATTTCTGACTCTTTAGAATCCATCTTTGAGTTCTTTTAACAAGGGCTTCAGGTTTAAAAGAGTGCCAGTTGATAAGAGTAAATAGCATTTCAGAGGTGGAAACTGGCTTGATTCATGATACCTGCTCTGTGGACAGGGATTGATTGAAATAAATATGATGCTCAATGTAAATGAAAAACACCGTGAAAGTGAAATATCAGGACGGCTATACAGATGAGCTTAATAATTATTTTAGTGAAATATATGCTACTGTGCAATAAATGTATAAACATAACTTGGTAAAACTTAAAAGACAATTTTGAATTATAAAACTAGCTCTTCTGCATTCCTAGAAAACATTCCAAAGCCCACAAGTCTCTGAAAACTAAAATCTTCTGACCTGAAGCATTTTGGATATGGGATACCTATGTTGTAGCAGTGATACATTTCCTCACTTACTCCTGGTCACAGTGTGGTAACCTGGTGTCACCCTAATAATAATAGCTCCTGTTAACATATTTTAAATTTTGGGAATGCACTTTAAAATCCAGCAAGTGAAATATGTACTTCTGACTTAGGTCCATGGACTTTGAATATTATTGTGTGTGTGCGTGTGTGTGTGTGTGTGTGTGTGTGTGTGAGCGTTTCTTTTTCATTGTGAACAGGTCTTGTTAAGCATTTGATGTTTGTAAAATACCTGTGTTTAACTTCAGTGATAACGACACATGTTTCTCACTTCTGGCACTATAGTCTCTGGATATTTGTGCTGGCTGCCGGGTAACCTTTATTCCTTTCCTAACACTCCTCAGCTCTGAAATTCTTCAGCACCAGCTGTGGGTCCAGGGCTGCAGGTCAGTCTTGACCCAGCTGCAGAGTGAGTGCAGGACAGGGCAGCAGCATAGTCCCAGTGTCTGCCCTGCCCGTCCCAACTGCACACGGCCCAGGCCGCCTGTGCTCCTGCTCTGCTGAACACAAGTAGAAGAGTTCCTCTTAGAGATAGTTGGTCAAGTCACAGTATCAAGGCATACAAAGTGAACATTCAAACAGAGAGACTGCAAACTATCTCTAAGATGATAATGTGTAATCTATTAACTGGTGATTTCTTACTGTTTTTTTTTTTTTTTTTTTTTTTTTTTTTTGTAGTTCTGTATTACTTGTACCCTTACACTGCTTTGTTTTGTTTGGTTTTTTCTCTTTTTCCTTTTAAATAAAATTTTAAAAAAAGAGTTCCTGTATTTCCTTCTTGGGAATCATTAAATGACAATCTCCTGCCCACCCACAAAAGTGCCTTCCGTGGGACACTAAGAACTAAACAGCGTTGTTAAGTGTTAAAGCCGAGTGTGATGCACAGCCTGAGTAATCAGCTAACAAAACTGATTAAATTACACAAAACCAGTAACCCCGCTGCTGTGACAGAAAGAAATCCCCTAGCCTACTGAGCCCTGCAGTTGTGTTCTTACAGAAAAGACACCTGCCCGCAGTGAGTACAGGAGACACCGTTTGCTGCACATCTTCCTCTCTATATTCATCTTGAAAATGAAGCAGCCAGCGGTATCAGTGAAATGTCTTTCCCAAAGGGAAAAAGGACTTTATGTCTTTTATGTCACACTGATAGACACAGCTTAGAGCGTGGTCCCAGGGCTCCCCTGCACTGTGAGGAGTGGTAGCAGCTCTCTCCTCACTGGAGTTCACACTCTCACCTGATGGATCCCAGACCTTAAGGACGATGTGTCTGGGTCATAAAACTAAGAGGAAGCTCAAGGGGCTAAAAGATTAAAGACAGAGAAAGATGAGCAGCTATTTTGAAGTAAACAAGACAGTATAATAGCTAGGAATGATTTAATATCATCTTACTTTGAAGTCCTACCATGCTTTTGTTCTTCTGTTTCCATTGGTTCTATCATGTTGTAGCTTACTGGATTTTATTATGTGTGATAGTATAAACAAATTTTCTGGGGCTGGGGATTTAGCTCAGTGGCATGAGCACCTGCTTTGTAAGCAGGCAGTCGTGAGTTCGATCCCTAGTACCGATAAAAAAAAAAAAATGAAAAAGACCAAAAAAAAGTTTTTTTTCTATGGAAAGTGAGATAATATAATAGCCATTATTCATTTTCTGTTCTTTGGTTCTGAATGCCTTGTAATACTTTCATTCTCTCGAATGGTTTTATACTGTTTTGTTATGTTTGATACTGTTGTATATGAAGTTATACTCAACTATTTCAAAGAATAAGACATTATGGTAGTTACTGTTATGTGTTGTCTTGTGAAATACTGTGTTGCTTACATTGTTCTGTTCTGATCTGCTTTTTTATGTCCTATTTTGTCTTAATCTCTTTAAAATAAAAAAAAAATTTAAAAAAGATTTCTCTTGGAAATGGAGAATTCAAACATTTTGTTTTTTATTTAATTTTCATAATGCCACACACAGATTTCCTGTTGTAATATTATACTGTTTTGTACACATCTTTTTATATTCATTTTCTTTTTTAAAATTTAACTTAATTATATTAGTTTGTATTTTCATTACCCATATTGGGAGCGATCACCTATACACGCCAGAGCTCTGTATCTTACCTCCTTCCTCGTCCCTCCCCGCCCCCTCTCCCTCATCCCCCCATCACTTCTTACAAGCTTGTTGATACCACTTTTCTTGGCTCATGCCATGACACAGACTGTTCCCTTCCAGTAGAGTTCTAGGGTCCTGTACCCGGCACATCTTTACTCCTCTCATTTTCCTTCCCCTCCTCCCACTCCTCTCTGTATCTCTTTTGACCACTTCCCTATTGGATGACATCTGTCCCCTTGTCCCCTTCTGTGCTTCGCTTGTCACTTTCTGTTTTTCTTTTGTACTTTGGCTCGCTCCAATGAGAGATATCATAAGATATTCAAGTTTTTATGTTTATTTCACTAATCTATTTTAGGGTGCATGCATTTTCCTGAAAATGCTCCACATTTGCCATTCTTTATGTCACGGTATTATTTCAGTATATATACAGATACCTCATTTTCATTGGTCAATCATATTACATGTTGTTGTGCTGTACATTTTTGTTTCAAAGTTTCACTGTAGTGTGAGGATTTAAAATTGCTGGGGAGGGTACCTAGCAGGGCAACAGCTGAGTCATGTGGAATTTTTCATTTCAGTTCTTTGAGAAATCTCCATAGAGATTTCCATGATGCTGGTACTAGTTTGTGTTCCCACCTGCAATTCAGAGGATTCCTATTTTGCCATAGCCATGCCAACATTTTTCAGTGTTTGATTCGCTAATGATGGCTGCTCTTTCCAGAGTAAGGTGGGATCTTAGTGTTGCTTTAATTTGGGATTTTCTGATACACAGAGATGCTGAAGGTTTTTTTTTTTTTTTTTTTTTTGTATAATTGTTACTCATTTGTATTTCTTCCACTGGAGAGTATCTGTTCATTTCTCCAGCAGATTTATTTTGCTTTTCTGCATTTCTTGACTGGGTCTCTAACTTTAGGTTTTTTCTTTTTTTTTTAAGTTCTTGTGTTTTCTAGGTATTAGTCCTCTGTTTGAAAATAGCTGTGAAAAGCTTTTTTCCCCCATTCTGTAAGTCTTCTCTTCTAGCCACTAAATGATTCTTTTGCTGTAAGGAAGGAAGCTCTGTCGTCTGATGTAATCTCATTTGTTGATTGTTGCTGCTATTTCTTTTGCAGCTAGGTTTCTGTTTAGAAATTCCTTTCCTACATCTATGTCTTAAGACATTTTATCTAATTTATTTTAAATTAGATAGAAAGTTTATAGTATTTCTTTTAATGTTCACATCTTTGATCAATTGTGATTTTAATTCACTATGTAGTGAAAGTTAAGGGTTCCGTTTCATCTTCTGAAAAGAAGTTTTCTGAAAACCAGTTTTCCTACCACCACTTGTTGAAAATGCTGTCTTTCTTCCAATACATGCTTTTGTCCTTTTGTCAAAGATCAAATGGTTGAGTGTGTCTGTGAAGGTTTCCATATCCTCAGTTCTATTCCACTGATCCACGTATCTATTCTTGTTCCAGTACGGTGACATTTTTATTATTGTTGCTTTGTAGCATAGCTTGAAGTCAAGTATCACTATGCCACCTGCTTTTGTCTTACTGCCCAGAAATACTTTGCTCTTCTGTGTCTTCTGGCTCCATATAGATTTTAAGAGTGTTTTCCCTATAGCTATAGAGTAAGCTGTTGGTATTTTATTAGGAATGCATTGCGTATGAATAAAAGCTTTGGAAATGTAGCTACTTTGACAATATTGG